CAATGGGTTTCCTCCGCTGGATAATGGATAGAACATGATTGAATACCAGACCGGAACAACACATTTCCATGGCAATAATACGGTCCAGGACCCCGGGGCACTGCTGTGTTTGGCCCGGGCTTGTGGCTTGTTTGCGAGTATCATGATCGGAATTTGAGGATCTGATGGTTGGGATGGCGGATATTCACCAGGACCGGCAAGAGTGCGGCGTCGGTTGATAGCCTTCTGGCTCGGAAGCTGACGAGCCGCTCTTAACCGAGTGGATCGGTCGAACAGCATAGAGGGACCTTGGGTTTTGTCCGGATGCCACGTAGAAAGTAAGATGGCAAGGTCATTCAAATGGGATTCATTGTCCGGGACGTGAAGTGTTCGTGGCGGGAAATGCAGGCGAGGATCAGAAATAGCAAAAGAGAGGAGAGAATTAGGCGGCAGTGAGGACGGGTTCGATACCCCTAGAAGAGATGGCCAAACGGCCTCCGGACTTTGCGCTGATGGAGCATTGCCATCTAACCCAAGAATCGGTTTCAGTGCCGCCAACAAGGTCTCGGTAGACCCTGGCCCTGTGATTTCAATACTGCCAATCTCGAATCGCAGGTCTTCGACCATGACCGGGGGGTTTTGCGATTTGGAAACCCCAAGAATATCCGTCCACAGCTGGAGGAAGGCTGAAGGATGGACTCTAATCCAGAGTTTTCGGTGATCTTTCTTAGATGACTTGGGCTGAGGTTCGTCGGCATCAATCATCTCAACATCTTGCTGCTTGGCACACCATATCAATGTTACTGGTGCGGTCGGACGTTTGGGATCATCTTTTTCAAAAGTCCAGGCCCGTAGAGACCGAGTCCCAGCTCTCCATTTCTTCCCCTTGGTGCCCCATGCATTGTCCCCGTCAATACCCACTGCCGTTAGGACAGCCTGGATGGCTGGTTCTGTTCCTTCCACCTGAATAGTAGACATATAGCTCATATCCCACGCCACGGCACCCCGGGCGCCTCGAGCCCGGTGCGTAGGCCGATAGCTTTTTTCGGTGGGGGATAAGGGAATAGCAAAACGCCAAATCGGGTCTTTGGTTGTCGCCATATGAGCTCGCTTTGCATGATACAAATGCGTAGGTAGCCATGTCTTGCATCGCTGGCGCTTGCGGTACTTAGGCTCTGCTGGAATAGACCTCGATAGCTTATTCTTCTTTATTTTGGGAACTCGTGGCGCAATATCGAAGGCATGACTTCCCTCATTTTCCAAGGAAGTTTGGTTCTCGTGGTCCCGTTTTTGTTTTGTGGCCGCCCGTCGGGCCTTTGTTTTCGAGTTGATAGCCTGCAGCCGCCGTGCGGTATCGAGCCGAATGCGCATCATCTGGAATGGCTTGCGTCTGCGCGCCGTTACAGTAGGTGTGTTATCCTCGGCCATCTAGCATGGTTGAAATAGCGGGTTAGTCAATTGTTATTGGAACTTTGTAGGTCAATGTCAATGAATACCTCTCGCTTGGCCCGAGCCCTCAATCTTCGCGGAACTCGCTTCACATTATGACTCGCTGTCCGCCGTCGCAGAGAGCGGGGAACTTTTTGGAAGGCTCGCGTCGTGAGCGCATTTTTTGACCGCTGCATTCCCTCCTCCAGAGCCTGGATCTCGAATGCCCGAGCCGCAGAGTATGCCGCGACATCGAGCTCGCCCGTTGCGGAGAGGGCGGCGTCGGCCGACTGCACAGTCAAGGTGCGCGCATCAAAGGTTTTGGCGCGTTTACGAGACGACCCGGCTGCACCATGCGGAACTGAGGGATTTAAGGGTTTCCGCTTAGCAGAAGGTTGGGATGCCATGGCTGCTGATTGAAGTTGCGTGTATTGACGTTTGCGAGTAAAAAAGTTGCCGGGCTTGGCGCGTCATGATCGGCGGCCTGCCCTTTTACTACTTATTGATATCTGTCGAATTTCGTACAGCGTAATTTACCACTAGACCATGACAAAAACCAAGGTTCCTGTTTAGGGCCTAGAGGGGCCATATCCCATTCTCGACAATATCTACTATCTTGAATATCTTCCAATCACAATTTTGTTGTATTGGTCTCATAATTAAGACATATCCTATAAATGAACAATTTTTTGGTAAATCGCGATTGGGGGTACGCTCTCACATTACCACGGCAACGTGGTCTGTCATATACTTCTGGATGTCGCCCAAGAAACAGGCGGCCACAATGGAGACACCCCCGAATGCAATACTGACATAGTATACCCATTTATATCCTTCGGCATATGCAAGCTGACCAGCCCCTACGACCATTTGATAAGCAGTCTCATTGCCAGCAATACCAGGGATTGTGCGTAGCTCGCTTAGCAATGAGGCACCTGTCAGCTCAATTGCTTCGCCAATCAGCTTAACGTCGGTGATGTTGAGCTCTTTCATCATCACACCACCGATGTAGTGTGTTGCCGCGGGGACAAACTTGGAGATGAAGACATTGTAGTAAATGGTGTAGCCGATGCCACCGCCTACCACGCGAATAGAGAGGGTGAGCGCAGAGATAGTGGCAATCAGATCCTAGCGAAAGCTAATGTCAATAGGCAAATTTCCTCCCTTCTAGCAAGATGACTCACGTCCGGGCAAATGATTGTGGTAATAATCGAGGCTGGCACCACAATACCTCCAATTCCAAGGCCGGCAAGGACGAGAATTCCCCAAAGCTGATACATATTATCAGTGCGGCCGATAGACATAGCACCGCATCCTGTTTTGAGGAGAACAGATTAGCTTTTTGGGAACTCCTATACCCATCAAGAAAACTCACCTGCAGTCATCATCACGCTGCTAACGATCAAGAGTTCCTTGTTATGCCCACGAAGTATACTAAGAAGCGCAAGCACAGTACATGCCCCTGTCATGATGCCAAATCCAATAGGGAGACTGCGAACACCCACTTCCACGGGGTCATGGCCATAGACATTGAATGATTCCGTGGGCCAGAACATAAGGACGGAGAAGAAGTTGGCACCGGAGATGAAAGTAATGACGAGGGTAAGGCCTAGAATCCGAGGCTCTTGCTTGAGGCGAGATGGAAAAATGGGGTATTTGGCTCCATAGATTTCCCAGAAAGCAAAAGCAACAAGCAGAAGGAACCCAACGATCAATGGTGCCAGGACATGGGCGGATGTCCATGGATACTAAATTAATATGTCAGTAAGATATGTAGCCCTGCACAGGGTATCTCCAAGCATACCATATATCCACCCCATTGCAACCCAGCCAAGAAGACAATGAGACCAGTGATGCTGAGCAATCCACCGACAAAGTCGATCCGTCCAATTATCTCCTTCCGGCTCAAACCAGCTGAATTGACTCGTGGCGGAGGGAAGTAGAATAGAACCGTGATCAGCAGACCAAAGGCACTCCACGCAGCACAGAACGCACCGACATAGCGCCAATGGCTGTAATATGCAATAAGCTGAGCCCATAGCACGGACGGGCAGAATGGTACGATGGTGAAGATAAGGATCGACACATAGACTCCTCTCTTTCGAGTGGGCGCCATCTCGGAGGTTGCAGCCAGGGCTGTCAGTTCATTGATCCCAGCACCGGCACCAGCGATGGCCATGCCCGCTGTATCCATGTTAGAGAACGTCTATGTACTGCGACATATGGGCAGATACAAACCGATGAAGTTGTTCATTGTGTGCACCGTGCTGCAGATTATCATTCCAATAACTATGAGGGATGCTCCAATAATAGCGACTGGGCGGCGTCCACTTAGATCTGATAGAGATCCAACGAAGGGGCATACACCGGCGAGGCCGAGCAAGTTTGCAAGAACCTAACAGAAGCTCGTCAATCATAGCTCTATACTTCAATGGGTATGCACTCACAAACCAGACCCATCGATCTGCTCCACCAATGTCTCCATAAATATAGGGAGGGATGCCGCCTAGTGGAAATGCATCAAAATTATATCACAGCTTTCATGTTGTTTCTCACATACCAAAGAGGTAGACTGGAATCTGGCTTCCGGTCCACAGGAAAGCCATGGCAGCGAAACCCATGAACCGACGGAATGTCATCTTTTGACGATCAGTATTGTCGCCAACCACAGGTTAAGCAGCCGAGCCCTACCGGGATATCCTTCTCAGACTCATGCATAGCTTCCTCTGAGCCCGGCCCAGCCATTACCCGGTGACTATGCTGTGAGGTGTCACTATATTCGTCATGTTGCATCACAGCCTTCTCGTCGGCTGGCCGACTCGAGTGAATGATTGAGTCCGCCATGATGGGCGAGGGTCAAGGGTAGCACAATGTTAAACAAAGTAAGCACGGGGAATTGACCTTGGCCCCAAGTCAACAAAATTGGATATAATTGAATTCGACTGAAATGCATACGATATTGATAATTAAATCCAGTGTCGAAGGAAGGCCACAATAATATAATTTCATTTCAGCACACTGAATCTGTTCCGTATTTCAAGTTAGGAAATGTCCAGAGTGGGGAAATGAAGACAAGCTACGGAGTAATGCGCGTTAAAGCAGATAGCCGGGATAGGAATGCTTGAAATCCAGAAAGTACCGAGGCAGCTTGGCAATTCCCTCATAATTCTGGTATTTCTGGGGCAAAGATGCTGGGGAAATGCGGGGAAGAAAACGTGGAGAAGGCATGTAGATGATACGGTTGGTTCACTGCTCCGGAGACCTACGCCAGAATAGGGATCAGCCCCGAAATAGCCAGAAACCCAAATGCTGGGAGAGTTTGAGTATTGAATTAATAACCTTGTCATATGTACAAGAGACGCTGATTGTATCTGTTAGGGGTTATCAGATAGCACATATTTATACAAAAATAATTCATGTATATGGCCTGTTTTCCCCTTGCTAGCTTCCTACTTCCAGTTGGCTTCGTTCAAGGAGACCGAGAGACCGGGATACCGGCGTTGAGTTGATAACAACCCTCGGCCGAAGCTTCGAAGAAGTCACACGATCGAAAAAGGCCGCCACATATTCGTAGATATCAATATTCTCGCGGTTCAGAAATATTCCCCAACCATGTTTAGCTTGAGTGTCTTAGGGACAACGAAAAGCCCCGTCGCTTCAACACATAGTTGGCCTGCCATGTCACGGACCTCACACTTGGTATATGCCTTGGTGTCTGTGCTTCGTTCCTGATCTAGGGTGGTATGCAGGGTATAGAAATTGTCCGAGTAGACCGGCGCCCGGTAGTTGAGCTCGAGGTTGGCAGTGACACCAGTTCGCGATGGGAAATGCCGAATGGCTACACGCCCCAGGTTCTCATCGATCACAGTGGCGAGCGCGCCTCCATGGACCATGGTTGGCCAGCCTTCAAGGCCTGGTCCCAAGAAGACCACGCTAATGATTTTCTTCTCTTTGTCATTCCAGAAAACTTTCTGTCAGATACGGGACAGTTAGAAAAAGCGGGATTCCGAGGCTTGGTAGTCAAAAGGTTCGGCATTCATGCAAGGAACCTAATGAGAAAACGAGAGACTAACCTGTAATCCCAAGCCCCTACTGCCAGCCAAGGGGCCTGATGTCAGCCGATGGGTTTTGTGCTTATCAGCGAAGTTTTCGTAAACATTCTTTTCCACGTAATCGGGGTTACGACGCAGCTCTTGTACAATCGGGAGTCCAATGTCGAATACCCGCTGGATTTCCCGAATCTCCATTTGGTCTTCTAACGACCCAGGATCCAATGGCGATGAGATTTTGTTGTCCAACCATTTCCCTGCTCCGATGCCAAGCGTTCCAAATATACCGGTATAGACCAGGCGGCGCGTCCAGCGCGATGGTTCTCGGGAGGCATTTGGTTGTGCCGCGGTGCTGACGCTTCGGACCACCGGTCTCCAAAGAAATCGTGTGTGTATTGGAGACTGGCGAAGGGCCGACTGGAGGATGCTGCGATAATGTATCATGGTGGTTACATTGCCAGTCCTGTAGAATTAGAGCTTTGAGACAATTTGGGCCGAGGCTCAACCATGTCACGTGTACATTGCTTAGTCATTAATATATATGTCGTCACTAACTAGAAGATATCCATTAGGACTACAACATACAAAATGTAGATCATTGCAAGGCATAAGACAATCAATTGGTAACAGCGAAGGCGGTAGGGACTAGCATCATTCATGTTCATCGTTTCTATCATCTAGAGGCAACATTTGCAGATTTCTTTCCCATGTGAACAGATGCTAAGGCAAGCCCATTTACTCGCATTTGGGCAGCTCAATCGCGCGGTAGAGGCAAATGAGGGCAGAGTGTGACTCCCCTAATATGTCATTAGCAATGGCTTTTAAAATGTAGAATGCGGTTCACTTACCACCACCCGAGAGGGTCTCGATCTTCTGCGCGTCCACCTCAGTCACTGTGTCGTCGTTGAACCACCACCACTTGTCGTCTGCCTCGCGGCGCTTGCTGCCTGTCTGAGGATCATCCTGCTCCTGTTTCTTGACGTATGCCGTGTAGTGACCGCTGTCGGCGCTAGCACCCTGGTGGGTAATCACGGCGCGAAGCTCATACAGACCAGACTGATTGGTTCCGCTATCTCCAGCACCTTGTTGTTTGATAAGCTCTTGGAGCTCTTTCTTAGCAGCGAGGATAGCTTCTGCTTTTTCTGCTTCGTACTCGGCATCAGTTTTGAAAGTTTCCTCCATCTGGCTATCGCCGTCCTTGTCGTTAGCCTTAGCCTTGGTCTCCTCGGCCTTCTTCTGCATTGGCTCCACATTTTCGCCCAAGTTGGTCTCTTTCGCCTGACGCTCTGCACGCTCTTCGGCAACTCTTTGACGTTTCTGAGAACGTTCAACTTCCAGCTCCTCCTTGCGGATCTCGCGAACCTTGTCGCGAATAGGGATGAGCTGCTTTCGGAGGCCCTCGGTACAGAACTCCACAACATCTAACTCGGCAGGAAATGTCACTTTGCGCATGATCTTAGCCTTCTTTTTTGTTTCACGCTTCCAGTAAAATCGGACAAAATGGACTGTGAGGTACTTGGGTAGTCGTGCGATGCGAGAACGCTTTTTGTACATAGAATTGCGCTCCAAAAGAGGGGAGTTCTTTTCGATTTCCTCTTCGAGTCCGGCCAAAATTCCATCCTGCAGGTGGTTCGTTTCTTTTCCGATATGACAATCAAGTTTGTAAAAAACTTCAGAACTTTGACTCGGTTGCTCGCCGAGTTCCTTGGCAGCGGGATCCTCACACTCTGTGATAGATTCGAATTGGCCCGCGAGATATTTATCTACAAATGAGGTGGTGGTAGCAGACTCTCCCTCGCCTTCGGTGATGGTCAACTTAGTCCGCAACTGGTTCAAGATCTGGGAGAAAGCCTCCTCGGCATCCTGTTGGGAGTATCCCTGTCCATTTCGGTCACGTTGGGCGAATTGAGGGAAAACAGCTCGGAGAGCATTGAGGAACATCAGTGGAGGGATGCCCTCCTGGGTCTCGGACATTTGCTTGAACAGATCTCGGAGAGAAGCGGCCAAATCCCGAGAACCTCCAAGGCCACCAATACCAAAGCTGCTGAGGTCTGACAGAGTCGACTGTCCAGATCCTCCACTCGGCCGATACCGTAGGAGCTCATCCTGAAGCTCAGGGACACTCCGCAAGGTTTGTAGGGAAGAGTTGAGGTAGCATGTGTTCCCCAGGTTCTGCAAACCGGCAGGTCTGGCACCTTTCTGTCGTGCCACCTCGGCCTCGGTCATGTCTTCCAAGAATTTGACGGTCTCCTTTGGCCGACCAAGGTCAGCGGAACCTTGACCTCCTGATGGGGTGCCCATCATCATGAACACCTGTCCGGGTTTGGCATTAAGTGACGAAAGCGGTGTATCATCTTTAAGCTGGCCACCTTTGACCAAAACCTTTTGGCGGTCGGGTTCCACACCAGTCAAGGAAAAGAGTTGGTACTTGAGTGTTTCGCCGTTCGTCGTAGGATCGAGCTCGACTTCGTGGCGCTTGCCGGCGTGTTTGACAATAACTGTAGATCCGTTAGTAGTGGTCCAGGGACTGCCAATACGTCCATACATACTCGGTATAGCCGCCATTTTCAATAAGTTTTAGATATGGATGATGTGAGAAGGATGAAGAGCTTGAAAGAGCTTGCGATTGCTGGGGCAAATGGTAAACACCTGGGACGAGGGAGCGTGGGGGGTCTCTCACCGCCCAACCACTATCATCACCGCCCACCCCGACGTCAACTCCTCTTCTGCCTAAGACAACCTGTTATCCAGAGAACTGCCTTTCTCGCTCACTGCCTTAGGTCAAAGGGTCCTCACAACGGGCTAATTGAATTCCTTCTTAACTAGCTCTCGACCATCATCACCCGTCACGACTGCATCCTTGTGGCCACCCCCTCATCATGGTGGGTACAGCTCAAATCAGCTGGCTCGTTCTATACTAATTGATTATTAGAGTCAATCTCTCCGGCCCTACCTACAGGCGTGAGTTCGACACTTGACAAATATTCAGCGGCAGGCTTTCTCACACTTCATTTACCAGTGTTCGGTCCTCTCTCACCGCAGCTCTTACGATCTCCAATTTCGCTTCTCAGACATCCGAGCGGCAGTAAGTTGCCCCTATTTCAAGTGATAAACATGGAATATGCTAATATACTGGGCTTCACCAGCAACTGCCCAGAGATTGAGGCAAATTCTTCGCCGGAGATCCTACTGAACCCGTACGTCTGACCGTCATTTCATCCAAGGTCGCACCGGACAAACGTATTGATGGCTTTCTAGGTTGCACATCAGCAGGAATGAAAATGAAAAGGTGAAGATTGAGCCAAGCTACAATTCTGTTCGCATAAGTATCAGAATCAAGCAGGCAGATGAGATCGAGCACATTCTTGTCCACAAATTCACTCGGTTCCTCACCCAGCGAGCGGAATCGTTCTTCATTCTGCGTCGGAAGCCAGTGGAGGGATATGACATCAGTTTCCTCATCACGAACTTCCACACGGAAAAAATGCTTACCCACAAGCTCATTGATTTCGTGATCGAATTCATGGAGGAGGTGGACAAGGAGATTTCGGAGATGAAGCTCTTCGTATGTGTACGGATGTTTCGTGTTCTTTGCAGGTCACTAACAGCTCACTAGTTGAATGCCCGTGCTCGTTTTGTTGCGGAGTCTTTCCTGACACCGGTAAGTCTCTATGGAATAATCTACCATTGACCCAGTTGCTGACGATCAATCAGTTCGATTAAATTGCCAAGCGTTTCCTTGTTGATTCCGAATAATGAATGGCCCTGTGTTTGCCAGTTTCTACTCCTGTACAGATAGCATAGGCTTGCATTGATTAAGAGAGAACTTTATACCGATGTCGGGTTTTTTTGTAACACATTTCCACCGACATAGTGCCTCACTAGCCTACTATTCTAGTATGGCCTGTTCCTTCCCAATCAAGACGGAAATTACCTACATAGCGCTTATAGTATTGAACGAATAAACAAGAAGAAATCACACCAGCGACCAACGGTGTTTTGGCAAAAGTAGCAGAATACTTATCTTCAAGAGAAGCGATATCTACAAGGAAGGCGTAGAATTTCAGTTGGTGCGGATCAGGTACGTGAAATTAGTGGATAGGGGCAGAAACGAGTGCGTCGCTTTAAATACGTACCGTAAAGCCTCGGTATACAAACAGCACACATGGCAGTGAGAAAGGTGAGATCGAATCCCATCTTATATCTCTCGGCACAGGTAAGAACTCGTAAACGCGTGGTGTAGCCTAATTCCACGCATATAAATAGTTCATTCTTACCAACACGCACTTTCTCTCGTAAATATTTCTGTTTCCACGCACTGTTTCCACGCACTATCATCCCAGACAGCCCTAAAACATGAGTGAACAACATGGGCATATGCCCAAATTTGAGGATTGGCCTGCCAGTATAAGTATCCTAGCAGCTAATGTTGATCTAATGTCTCTCAATGAGAACTCACGCCCAGAGTCACCGACTGTGACTACGCCTGTCTCTGAGAGTCGCAAACACTCACCTGGAATTGTCGATGATTGTTCTTCTCTCAAGAAATCGCCCTCTGATTGCACCCCAGCTCTCACTCAACTTTCTGCTCAGGCTCTTGTGGAGGTTCCTGCCCAGTTTACCGCTCAGGTTTCTCCCCTCCTATCCCATCCTTCCCTTCCTTCGACCCCATCCTCTTCTAACCGAAGTTCATCTTCGTCTTCCACTATTCGTCCCCCTCCAAACCGCCGTCTTGAGTTTGAGCCTGGATTCCATCCCAGGCCCTTTGAATTCGTGCCCCAAGCCTATTCTCCTCTCAGTCTTCAGTCCCAATCTCGTCGATATCCTTTTGAGACTGTATCTCACCACAATCCTATTGACCTCTCTGGTCAGTTCCAACCCAGTAAGTATCTTCAAAATCCATTCATCGTGATCGGTCGACCTGCTATACCATCATCAGTGAAACTGTTTGAGCCTCACTGACAACGGTCTCTACTACAGCAAACGTCTGCAAACCCAACTTTGGTCCATCCAACGCCATCAACATGGGCTGGCCATTCGACCAGGGTGGGACCCCCAATTTTGGGGATTTTGAGCGTCTTGAAAACTTCTCAATCGAAGAACTCCTCCAGCAAGCATCCATTCCATTTGGGAGCATCGTTGAGATGCGTCCACCTTCTCGCAATGGTGTTGTGGTGATTTCTAACGTGAGTTTCCACCATGTTCTTCTGCTTTGTTTAACATTCCAGTACTAACAATTATGATACTTAGATTCCGTACACTGTGACTCGCCAGGAGGTGGCCTCATTCCTTGGACGTAGTGCGAACCTGCTTCCATCCTCTCAAGGATGCCCCATCCATATTATTATGGAACGGTCTACTGGAAAGACCATGGACTGCTATGTTGAATTCCCAACAAAGAAGGATGCCGAAGAAACTGTCGACCGGATCAATCGTGCCTATGATGTTGGTAGTACCCCACGGATGGGTAGCCGCCATGTCGACATAGAACTCAGCACCCCAGCCAAGCTTCTCAAGGCTGCTTTTCCCCGGGCGAAGTGCATTTCATGGGAGGATGGGAATCCTGTTCAGCTTGTCAACAAAGATAGTTGGTCCACCGGTTTTGATGGCTTTCTCACCGACGAGGAGCTGTTTTGCCTCACTCGGCACGCAGAGCAACCTCACCGAGTACGTCTACTTTTCCTTTTGAATTCTTCGTTTTTTTCATGTTACTGACCTTAACAAATTGCAGAGTGCATTTGCTAGCAAGGTCCCTCAGCGTTGTTACGAATCGTTCATTACCACTATCTGGAAGGTAAGTCAATCATTGTCCATACCTCTCCGTTTGCCCTTCTATGTCATACTTACATTCTTTGTCTTCGGATGTAGTTCCCATGGCATGCAACTCATCTTTACACCGTGCATCACCGCAATGCACTTTTCAAAACTCTTGTTACTTTGATCAAGACTCTAGTGGAACGTATGCAAAAGGCAAACACAGTGGGCTTGGATATCCGCCTTCTCAATGAGTTGGTTAATGCAGGGATCAGCTGCCCTGCCTTTAATCCTCGCATGAAATATTGTTTTGCTTGGTGGTCGAAGGATAAGAGAAGAATTGGGTTATTGGACCATAATTGGTGCCTTTACTTCCCATTCGATACTCTGACCTACATTCCTGGACACCATTCTGCTGCTATTCAGGTACGTAACATGGCTGAGATGTTGTCTTCTTTTGGGAAATTACTAATTCAATCTTCAACCGATATAGTTTTATTCCTATGTCATGTCCAACGGTTCGGTTCTGCGCACTGAGAACGACGGTCTTCTCAACCAACACACTCACCCTGAGGTCGAACGAATCTTCGGAAGGTTCTGGTTTGAGTGGGATGATGATGTTGCCCGTAGCAAGATCTTCAAGGATGCAATCATCTACGAAGCTAGTGTTCTGCGGAAGTTCATCATCACTGGATTCCAGCAACTTCACAGGAGAAACTCGAGCATCTCAACTATTGGCACTGCTCCTGGCTCATCGCCAACCCATAGTCTCGCCTCAGTTGACAGCCAGCGCACCATTTCAGTTTCCCACAGTGGCTCCGTGAATTCCGGCCGTGCTTCTCGGGGAAGCTCGACTGTTTCGTCCACCAGAAATATGTCTAGCAGTCTCCTTGAGTTAACCAACAACTGGAATATCTCTGGTAACTCCCGTGAAAGCTCTCAGCGACTTGATTCTGCCCAATATCTGCCGGACACCCCGACTCATCGGCCTCGCGCATCGGCCCCTGCTTACGTTCCGCCACACCAACGACCAGATTCAGCCAAATCCCGCAAACAGTCGGTTAGCTGGCGTATGCCTCAACTTCAGGAGGCAACTGCGGGTGGCTCAGCTCAGAGCCAGGGTGATATCCGGCCTATCTACCGTGCTCCGCATGCGACTGCGCAGAACGTTCGGTCGTCCTCTGATCCTTTCGGTCCAGTTCCTTCGCTTGGTCCCAGCAGCCACCGGTCTCGCTCCGACGCTACTCATCTGTCGAACATTGATCGCCAGGTGTTTGATGAGTTCCGAGCTGCTGGCCGCGGTGCTCGATTTGCAAAGAAGTAATCGCCACACGCGGTGGATATCCTGAACCAGTACTTCTCGCTTGAGGAGTGTTGGTTCATCGGAATGGTAATGATCTTGTGTTTCTGGTTTTTCCTTTTCTCGGTTCTTTTCTGCGTGTGATGTATGGAGACGTCCACCAGCTTTATTCAGAAAACCCTTGTCTCCCTGGCGCGTTCGCCATTTTCTTTATTTTCCTTTGTCTCGCTTTTTCCTCCCGCGAGATCTCCCACTCACGGCTGCTGCCTTCGGGATGTGCTTGGCCGGTTTGTGAGGTCTCCCTCGAGGAAACTCATTTGAGGTTCATGTTTTTCTAGCCTTGATGTCACTTTTCAGTTAGTTGACTAGCTAGATCTCATTTACATTGAATTCTCTCCTTTGCTTTTTCTTGTGTGGTTGTTCTCTAGGCGGGCGTTGTTTTTGCTTGTTTGTAGGCTATGCGGTAACATGCATATAGTAGGACAGCTGACAGCCAATAGAAGGCTGAGATCAACATTGAAACATTAAGAAGACAGAGGTTAGGTTGATCAGAGCGTTGCAACATCGCCTCTTTGATTCCGGGCAATTGCTGAAGTAGGTCAGTACTTTACTAGTTCTTATTTCCTACTCGCTGTCTCGCTGAGCACATTAGTGTCTTCAATGTTCTTTCTGGGTTATTGTGGTCCTAAATAACCCCCTGTCTCTTAATCTCGATGTTGCAACTATCTATGGACTTACCAGAATCAGACAAGAACCTCCGATCACTCAGCAAAGTCGACACAGCTACCAACACTTGTCGGTTCCTAGAAGGGGTACTTGTGACCAAGCTGAGGGAATACCTCAGCTACTATCAACCGAATTCTCATTATTACCACTGCGAGCCATCGATCCTTAATAAAGACCAAACGAGCACCGGCTACGATATGGTCAGAGCGACAGACGAAGACACAGCTAAAATAAAGGGGACTAGGCGTGGGAGTACATCTGCCACTGAGTCAAGGGCCGAGATTGGGACATATTGAGAGCTCTTAGTGAAGTCAATGACCTTGTGCACCCCCTATAAAGACAGCAATATGTTAGGCACAACTACATGTAGCCAGCCCAAAACCATCACCGATATCGCAGTCTCATCCCCGATCAGTTCCTCCAGCTGAGATCGGAATATATAATCATGGACAATAAGCCATTTCCAACAAATCTGAATTTCTACACATCACTTCTCAACAACTAACATTGATGTCTCTGAAGGTACCAACGATACGTCTTGAGGGGGGAAAAACGGAGGAAAAAAATAAAAAACAGTAAGGGACTAAAAGCGGAGAATGTTTATTACAGCCGGTTTTTAAGGCCTGTGGGACCCTTCTGGTTTTATTCTTATCACTTTTATTCTTTCATCTACAGTATTTTGCTTCTTTTCTTGCTTTTCTTGAATTCCAAACACGAAACCAGGGTTCCAACTCCTTACTCTATAGAGAAGAAAGGGTGGACAAAGACTCTACCGAGTTTGAACGTTTTCATTGAATTTATCTAAGTATGCCACGACGGTCATCTCGGCCTGATCTGACGTCGCCTGAAGCGCCTACGGCGTCAAAGCGACGCGCTTCAGCCAGACTGTCCGCCGCCGAACCGGGGGTCAAACGGGTCAAGTCAAACGTCGACCTGTCCCTCAGCCAGGCAAAGTCCACGAGCAGGAAGAGCAAGTACTTTGAGCAAGAAGACTCCGACGAGCCGGAGTTGGAGTCCGATGTCTCTGCGGAGGAGTCCTCTGGCTCTGTGTACGAGGAAGCAGAGGAGGAATCCCCCGCCGAGGATGCGGAGCCGGAACAACTCTCCGACACAGACGAGGACGCGAAGAAGAAACCCAGTGCGAGGGGGAAGCAACGACAGAGTACCAGCAGCGGAAGCGACCCTATGAAGGGCAAGGAGCTCTGGCGTGAGGGCGTCAGAGCGGGCCTGGAGCCCGGGCAAGAAGTGATCATCGCAAAGCCCAAGGCTCGAGATGCGGGCAACACCCCGTACCAGGATGAGACCTTACATCCCAATACTAGGCTTTTCTTGATCGATCTAGCTAGTAACAATGACCGCCAATGGCTAAAGGGTGAGAAGCGCGCATATACCCCGGTTATCGAGTTGCTAGCTGACCTGTGTAGCGCATGATCCGGATTACCGAGCGGCAAAGAAGGACTTTGAGACATTTATTGAGTCCCTCACGCCGAAGATTGCAGAGGTGGATGCTACCATCCCTGAACTTCCTGTGAAGGACCTGGTAGGCTTGCGAATACTCCTGTCTTTACCTGTGCCCGGCACTCATAAACTTTTGCCCTAGGTATTCCGCATCCACAGGGATGTTCGCTTCAGCAAGAATCCACTTCCATACAAGGTAAGCTATCTTCCCCTCCAAGTCCCTCTCGCTGTGCCTGTCGCATGCGTGCGTATGTGGCGGGGTGCGTGGTACTGCGGGCTCGTTAGCAGTGCTTGTGCTGATTCAAAATGTATAGACGCATTTCTCCGCTGCCTGGTAAGTGTCAATGTTCAATGAATTTCTTGGAAAGCCAAGTCACTGAATATAGTGCAGGTCTCGGACTGGCAAGAAAGGCCCATACGCAGCATACTATGTCCACTTCCAGCCAAACTCTTGTTTTGTTGGTAGGTTGTCCTCCGGCTGGTTTCCACTGTCGCCATCGCTATTCTGCCTTCCTTTGTGATCTTTGTCCATTGAGACTAATCCCACGCTGTGTATAGGCTGCGGGCTGTGGAACCCCGAGACCGAGCCACTTGCACTGCTGCGAGAGGACATCGACGAGAACTCGGATGGCTTGAAGGAGGTACTCCGCGCGCCGGAGATGCGTCGTGAGTTTTTGAAGGGAGCGTCCGACGATGACGACGCGGTTGTGGATGCTTTTACGCATCACAATAGGGAGTCTGCTCTGAAGACGAAGCCCAAGGTGAGAAGTGTTCTGTTGTTTATTCCACCCTCAGCCCAATGTGAAGTATGGTGTCCCTTGAGGCAGACTTTACTCCTTCCCATCATCTTGTGCTTCGGTTTCATTGTCAGCGGTTTGATTATTATTTATGGCTGGGACGCGGAGGTCTTGGAGGCAGGGGGCACAAGGTTCGCTATCGAGGTTGCGTCCATCGTCCGACCGGGATTGGTCCTTGAAACGGAATTCATTCCCGTCTGCATCGACCAGTACCATCTTCCTGGCCTTGATAGCAACGGTCTGATGAGATCATAGAGACCAGTTCTTTGCGGTTGACCAAGCGATGCCGTGGTCGGGCTGCTGGACGTGACCCCGGCTACCCCAGAGATGGAAGGAACCCGAGGATTCGAGAGAATTTAAGAGTTTCAGATGTCCCGAGTGCTTCATGTGCTCCGAACCATCAAACGCGAGACCTCGGGAGATGTGGAAGACACGCGCACGGGGGTTACGGGAAAGGCCAACCCGTGTTTTAGGCCAATTTTCACTCCCGGAACGCAACCATGGAACCCAGCAACGCAATTTCCAAGGTTGGCAGTTTGCGCTCAATGGGGAATCGCACTTGCTGGAATGGGATTCGTTCTCACGCCGTCGACTTTGGTTCCATGGTTCACTCTCGCGCCAGGCTCCACGTCTGATTCATCTTTGGAACCTTGGAAGGGCCCTTGCTGACACACCTTCTAGGGTTACGAGGCAGACAACAAGAACATCAAATTACTTCGACTACGCAGTTTCACTATTGGCAAGCCTATTGCCGACGATGAACTCACTGGAGACAATGCCCAAGAGATGATTGCTACTCTGGTTGGGGTCATGGAGCCTTTCGTAAGCCCTGTTCCAATCTATCGATTCCCGATTTCCCTTTCCCGCCGGTTTTGCCCCCTCTTGACTAGTCTGTTTTCACTTCTAAGCTAGCCGCTTTGGCGGTGTTAGCCGTCCCTTTTACCCACCCGAACCAGCGCTGGTGTCACGATGGGTTTCCTTTTTTTTCTTTTTTTTCCCTATTTTTTCTTTTATTTTTTTCTCCCTTTTTTCCTTTTCTCCCCTTCCCGCTTTGACAGGATCGGAAGGCTGTTGGGACAATAACCTTTATGTTGGAGAATCTGTATTGCTGACCGCTGACCGCTCCTCGTCTCTCAAACAGGTGACGTATCTCAACAGTGTAGTGATGCCTGATCAGTGACATGATTGGAGAGAACCACCCGCGCCTATTTGGCATTGGACGGGACCTCGGGAGGGGGGAGAGAGGTCAATCTGTTCTGTTTTACGCTTTGCCTCTTACTTCGGGGCATGCGTGTGTGGTATGAAAGTTGGGGTATAAAGAGCTGTTCGTATTTGTTACAAGTCAGATTTCTCCATTTTATTTTTCTCGTTCAACGTCTGCCTTAGCTCGGGTCTTTTGTCTCTCGCAAGTCCTCGACGTGAAACCGGGATCCCATCCCCCACCTTGACGCCTCCTGCACGTGGCTTCTTTCGTCAGTCCCCGCCGCGTTTCCTGGATTGCTACTGCAGGCCGAACACTGGCGCGGGCCCAAATAACGCAACTAACATTGGCTCTGCGGTCATATCACCTCTAGTTGCTGCACTGCCGCACTGCTGCACACTGCAGACTATATGGTACACGGGCAACGCTCCAAATTGAGACATTACTACTGTGACACACGCAGTTCTAGACACTTCGACGCAATCCTGCTAGCCGTGCCAGCACCCAATGGCTGCGCAGCCCCTCGCAGCCCCTCGCGTGCAATATACAATTTAACCTTTTTGCAATCTACACTCCTCCCCAACCGAATTTCGAATGTACAACATAGTTATGCAAACCAAAGAAGACACAACTCTCCGAATTAAATGAAGCACTCAGTTGACGCGCATGATATCGCCACCGCAAGCGCCCGCGTTCGGCCCGTTGTCGGGCATGCCCGCTAGACTAAACTTGGGCCTGCAGGCAATGTGGATTGGGGCCCGGATAGTTCTACTCCGCCGTCCCCGATTTTGGGCTTTGAGATGAGCACCTTCCTTGTCTGGAATGGACTCCAATTTTTTTTTTTTTTGACTGGGTGGTATTGTTTTGTTTCATTGTACGGAGTAATGCATACTGTATGTGTTTGGTATGCACTGCGGATTTCTGATTCTCGGACGATGCTGTTCATTTCAGGCAGGGTCCGCTGGTCTCAGTCTAGTATGTCGTGATGGTCATGTATCAACTCAATACTCGGCTGTCCACGATGAGCATTTCTTATCCCGGGGTCCAGTATATTGTCATGGTCCTTCACGCATCAGACCTAAGATTGGCATTCCCACTTTCAGTACGGAGTGATCTTTGAGAGATCGATATAAGGACATACACAACCTCGGTCACAGAATAAGTAGACATTATTTCATAAACACTTGGGACTCAAAGCTTGTGAATGGCGGCCTTAAGTAAGTCACTAGATATACAGAGAATGGAATATGCTAAAGTCTTGCGAGATATCGAAGGTATTTCGACTTCCCAAGGAATATTTAGGGCTAGAAGTTCGCGGTTCAAGACCATGATGGGTCTATACTCTATGTCGGGGATTAAACATGTTAATTATACTCTATTCATTCCCTAAATACTCTTCGTGGAATCTGAATTCCCGAACTATATTCTGTTGCTCAAGGGCTGACAAGATTTATACACTTGGGGTTAAACGTCTAGGGTAGGAGTAATCACATGTCACAATTTGTCTTGTTTGTTATCGACAGGCATGATGTTTATTGACCTAGAACAGCCAATTAACTCAAACCCAGGGATCAAGGTAGACGCCGGATCGACCTTTAAAACCTTGAGAGAGTCGGTCGATTTTATGAGACACCTACTGTTGAGTTAGATTGGTGATACCCTAAATGCATCTGTATGCAATACAAAATCCAATCTAGCCGGAAACACCTAGGTGGTTTCAGATTTGCAAAGTCAAAAGCAAGCCTAAAGAAGCAAAATGGACTCCGGACTCGAAAAAGCAAATCCGAAGCAGTTAACCTGCGCATCAATTAAATATGCCATAGGTCCCTAGCTTCACGCACGCTCCCGAGAACCACATCCAGAAAAAGCAAAGTGGAATTGACTCGCTTTGTCTCCCGAATAGCGCCCGAATAGAGTTAAGGAGCATGGCTCACCTGTTGACCGATGAGGTACGGAGTATAGATGGTGGGAACCAATCAGATGCGAATATGACACGAATAACAGAAATAGGAAACTTGCTTGACCCGAAGGGAGGAAGAACAGAAGAGCAAAGAAAGATCAAAGACTCGGCTAATGATGACTTCTTGCCGATCTCGCATATGCTTTTCCCAGGATCAGGTAGTCATCAGGCATCTCCCATCACACGACCTGCACGTTCGAGTTTGCTGTACACCGACTTTGAAAGCACTGCCTTGTTCCGGCTCAGTGCAGAAAAAAAAAACCCCTCGCCACGTCAGATCCCCAGCACAGACCTTGCCCTCCCTGTGAATTTTTTTACTCATTACTATATTGGTGCTTATGGTGTTCCCGTGACCGTATAGACATGCGGGCTGCGTCTATTAGTGCCCGACCCGTCTCCATCCTTGCTGATAGACGCGCTCCCGTGTGGGTAAGGAGGGGGTTTTATACCTTGGAGTTGGGACGAAAACTTAGAAATTTCGGGGGAAAAAAAATAAATAAATAGAAAATAGAAAAAGATCACACTAAATGCAAAGTTGAAACCAAAAAAAGTACAAAAATATTATATAATGTAAAAATGTTATAAGAAAAACTTTACGATGGAACGTCGCAGCCTGTAAAAAGGCCCCGGGTCGGAATGGGTCCCCTAGCGTTGGGCGTTCAGTTTCGACAAACAGCGCTCAGTCCCTGTCGGATGGGCTAGTTTGGAGGACAGCTAGCGCGTCTCTAGGACAAACAGCATCGAGTGGCCAGCAGCTTTGGACCGGGTGGATCTTAGAAAGTCTTCGGAGAGCACGCTAATACTAGAAGGACAAAGCTGAACATGCCACGCCTGAGAGTGGGGAACGGAAAGACGCGGACGGCAATGCAGTCGATTGGGTTCGAAAAACGTGGCCTGAAAGGATTGTCTTATATCGGGAGGTACTCCATTTTACGTCGTATTACTGTGTATTACCGATAGTGTATTATATTTATGAAAACCGAGCACTTTATACATGTACCTATTTTCATGAGGTATCCATGTAATCATATCATAAATATTTAAGTAACCAAGACAAGTAGGTCATGTCTATGATAGCACGGTATGTAGAAGATATATGTGCCCCCGAGACGTAGATAAATACTGTACTGTAACAGCCGAGGATGTATTTTTGCCAGATGGCACACATGCATAGATCGGCGGGAAGGCCGGAGCGGCCCGTGGGACAAGTACCCCGAAACTTGATTGATTAATCCTGCGCAATAGTACAGAGCACTCGTATTATTACAATCTGCTCGATATATTATTCAATCCATGGTTGTGCGGGTGGGCTCTTTTTTTTTTTAACCCCCCATCGCTATGACCATCTGCTATTATTCACACTTTATCTCAGAACCCACATTCCCTGTATATTGCAAATGACATGGGCTGAAGACTTTGATCAGAGATTGGCGGTGACGGGGGGGCGTACGCTAAATAGCCCCCCCCGTACAACGTGGTTGTGGCTCTTGGACAAGGAACCCGCCCTGTCAGCGCAGCGCTAATGCAGGTTACCTTGGCTCATTATGGGCTTTCCGGATCCAGTGCTACAGCCCTGGGAACTTAGGGCACTCCACCCCCCTTCGTTCTCTCTTTCTTTCCCTCCAAAGTCTGGTTCATTTCAGATCCGCTCTCGTCACACTTTTTTTTCCTCACACAGACTTTGTGCCATACTCCATATCCAACCTTTGTCTTCCTATGGATGCCGTTCGTTGTTGAAGAGTGGCGAGTGGTCTAGCTTAACCCCACTCCCTCAGCTGAAGTCTGATCGCCACACTTTCACCGCTTGAATTTTTCTTTCAAAGTAGTACCTACATGCAGTAGTTCCATGTACTTGATGGACTAGGGAGTCCTGGTCAAGACAAAAAATAGGGTATATAATACTGCCATTTAATGGTTGGAATAAAAATAAAATACAATTAAACCAACCCCGATTATGCATGGGAATGTGTCGCCCCGACCCGAGCCCATCGCCATGGAAAATGATCCTGGTTCCGCGGGGCCGGTTGCGGTTGTGCGACTACGGTCCGAGGCGGTCGTTCGTCCATGGGCGGGTTACGCAGCAAGGGTCACTCGGAGGAATTGACGTGCATGGATTGACCCATGCAAAAGAGGTCACCTGCCACATTGATGATGATGTCAACTTTGGAAGTTGAAATAATCTTTCTAAACATGTAGAACTGTTTCCATTATTATTATGGAGGTATAACCATTGTTCCAGGTAACAATGTAGAGTGGCGAAAAACGTGGAAAGTTACTCTCGGGCGCTACTACTAGTTGAAAAAAATAAAAATAAAAGAAAAGAATGAAAAAAGAAACCAGAAAGTAAGAGCGGTCGCCGTTCTCGGCTTCATGGCAACGGAAATCTGGTACCCTAGATTAAATTCCATGGTTCAAAATCTTGTCTCCCATGTTTCACTGGATGAAATGAAAGCGTAAGGTAAGGTCATCCTACTCGATGTACTCCGTATCCATGCATGTATTCGACATGGACACACAAACTGTTACATACAATGGTCCGCGTATAGATACACTGTCACTGTACAGTAATCCCCCCTCCATGTCTATGGGTCACTGGCGCCGCTTTAGCCCGCGCTGCCCGGGCTCCACCCCGTTCTCTAAAAATTCCCCTGTGCTTTTCCAATCAAATAATTCATTCCCTTTATTCTCTGCCCATTCCGATCTGAGCTTCTTTTTCTTCTTCTCTTCTCTGCTTATCTTGTCGTGGGGTTT